AAATTTTGAAATTTACTTTCTAAAGCCTAAATTAAACATTCCGATAGATAGGAAGAAGGCAACCCAAGGGCCTGTTTTAACAGATGAAAACAATGACGACAGACTGTAAACTGAGGGCTTCTCTAGGGCTGATCTCCTGCAATTCGGAAACCCCGCCTCTGAGCCCTCTGACCACGCGTGCTGGGCATGTGTGCTGACACCTTCTCATTTGTGCACGGCCTCTCTTTCTTCATCATTCAGCAACAAGTACACCGGACCTCTTGCTTCGAAAAGGCACTGGGGGATTGTGCAGTTAATTCTCTGTCACGGATTTTTTGTTAAGATGGATAATCACGGCCTCTGCTTGTGCCCTGCTTTGTCACAGGAAGGATGTAGGAAAATCAGTAGCTAATTGGTTCTTCTCGCTCCCCTGCACCCCCTCCTCTTCTTTATTAGCTAACATTTTCATGCTGATTTTGTTTTCAATGAGGAGCAACCATACATTCATATTTGTCAAGACAATATCCACCTCCCAAAAGGGGATGAAGCTTGATCCGTGCACTCGAACATTTATTGAGTTTCTGCCAACTAGATGGTCATCGTTCCCACTTCATGGAGCTTACGGTCTAATGGGAAATACGAACAGACAGACAACTACAACAGAGTGAGGTGAACGCATGATGGAGAGAGAAGAATGCTTCTGGAACCCGCAGGAGGGCCACCCACTCCAGACTTGGGAGATCAGAGAAGCTTCCCAGGAGTGAAGTTAGCTGAAAACTCGAGCAGCTGTATGCCATTTAAAGGCCATGTGGACAGCAATGCCACGGGGACACCAGGTGAAGTCGATCCAAACAGTGGATCCAAATGAGGTCAACTTCTCGATCCAGATGTGACCTGCGGTTATCTTACAACGGCACTCAGCTAACCCACCAGGTTCTTTAACAGATTTCCAGCTCCTTTTATTTCTAAGTATATTCTGCTTTCTCCTGTCCTATTTCACTATCTTTACCAGCCTCCCAGCTTTCAAGCATTTCAACTCAACCCACAAGGGCCTCCGAGTGATAAAAGGTGTGATAAATATGAGACAAAGGGAAGAGAGGAGGTAGGGGGCCCCTCCACAAGGACCATGTAACCACAGAAGTGCAGAACAGAGACAAGCCATGGGACTGTCCACTGACCATTCCACTCCCCACAAGCCCTGCAGAGGTGACCTGCACTACCAGTCCTGCTTGTCAAGCAGATATTCCCACTCTGACTTTATCCTGGGTATGACACATTTTTCTGGACCCCGCGGCTGCCATATACTGAAGACAGCAGAATGGGCTCTTGACACCAAAGCCCCTTCCCTAACAGTTGGATCCTTTTCCTTTCTCCATTTGAGTATTCCTCCTAAAATGGTACATTCCCTGCTTCCAGACAGTACCAAGATTTCCTTAAATCATCTCTACATATCACTGTCCATATACAATCACAAAGCCGGGACCAAAGAAAAATAATAACTTTTCACCATTTGCTCTTCCAAAAATGACTGGAAATTTTTTGCCAAGCTGGAATTTTTTTGAATGGTTGGATAAAATTACTTTTTAATGTCTCTTCCAATCCTGAGATTTTATGATTCTATGACATAATCAGAGCCATTTTTCTTTGAGGGTTATAGCTGGGTAAAATTATCCCAGTCTAAGATGTTACTGTAAAGGAAAAATTGGGTCAGTATTTCAACAATATTTGGTTTTTCAAAGTTGTCCAACGAAACCTCACTGTCAGTGGTCAAAGCTGCAGCTGCAATGTGTAAGTAAATCCAGTCTGGGCCACAAGCAGTTATATATTTTACAACCAAAGATGGGGGGTTTACTTCAAAAGATCAACTGAACACAAAATTTAACAAACAAAACAAAAAAGAATGTCCTGAATTTCTTTTTATTCAAGTATAGTCAGTTACAGTGTGTCAGTTTCTGGTGTGCAGCACAATGTCCCAGTCATGCATATACGTACATATATTCATTTTCATATTCTTTTTCATTAAAGGTTATTACAAGATATTGAATATAGTTGCCTGTGCCATACAGAAGAAATCTGGGTGGTTGTTTTTACGTCCTAAATGTTTTGGATTATATGAAACTTCACATCTAAGGGGAGGTAATTATTTTGCTGTCCTTCCCAAACTGACTCTTATGTTTTATGACCTGAGTGGTAGAAAACATAAAAACTGTACTCAGGCACTTAGGCTTTGTGAATAAGACTCACAGACACGCGGCGAGAGCCACGCCCACTTGCAGGGGCTACGTAGCCTCATACATCTTCGGTGCATCATGTCCTACACATCCCAAATGGAGAGGTTATCAACAAGCTACACAGCTTCACCACAGACGTCTCCATGTGCAGCTCAAGTCATCACTCAGAGCACAAAGAAAAGAAAGCCACGTCACGCAAGTCCTGCACCAGGTGTAACACGTAGGGGGAAGCAGACCATGAGCACCCTTGTTCTGGGTCTGTGTTCTCTTCCACTAATACAGAAACAGCCCCAAGGTCCCAGGCAGTTTCTAATAGCAAGGAACTAAATACCTGGGTTCAAATCCAGCCTCTACCACTTCCTAGCTGTGTGGCCCTGGCAAACAATTTAACCTCTCTGGGCATTAGTTTCCTCATGCGGAAAAGAGATAACCATAATACCACCTTCTCACCTCACCTCAGTCTCTAGTTCGCTCTAAAACTGGTTGCTCTGATTTTAGGAATATGGTCAATGATATTGTATGGACCAGACTTATCGTGATCATTTCATAACATATGCAAATGTCGAATCATGCAGTACTCCTGAAACTAACCTAATAGGGCACGTCACCTATATTTCAATAATAAATAAAGAAAACTAGTTGCTTTGAAGAATTTTGAAAAGGTTACTGGCAAACAAGTACAAAGAAAAGCCACTCAGGGGCCTAAAGAGAAAGATTCTGTAATTGCTATGGCTTGACTCCTTGAGTCACATTTAGTTAAGTCTGGAATTTCCAAGGACAAAATCAGAGCTTCCCAACAGGACACCAAAGACACGAAAACAGGTGGGATCGGAATCGGAGAGTTCCTAGAAACGCGCCCTCAAGGGCCAGGGTGCTAGCAGCAGATCATACTTTGTTGAAATGAGGGGAAGGGACAGACTCGTCCATCAACTAGAAGCCATCTGTTTACATATTTCCCCTCTTGATATTTTAGCTCTACTGCTACATCCAGGGTGAACCAATTCTGGATGCTGTATAAATATGAGAACTCTGGGAGAGAGGAGAGAGGAGCCCAGCAAACAGAACAGCCAGTGGGAATTACTGAGTAACTGGGAGCATCTAAATGAACCAGACTTTGTGTGTCTGGGGCCTGCAGAGTCAACCCCTCCATCTCCCCCATGACTTACACATTCACTGCTCCTGTGTTTGGCTAAAACCTGAAACGGCCACCCAACCAACATCAATCCCATTAGAAAGAGAGGAGCAACCTGGCATCGGAGAATGTCATGACCCCTTTGAAGGCAGCTGCTTCAGAACTTGTGAATCATTTTGAAACAGTCAGTCAGGCCAAACCACATCAACAGTCACGTTTAAATAAAATGCATACACACACCTGCCAAACACAAAGCCCTGACTTGTCAGAATTCCGGCTCTGCTTTCCCTGTCAGGTCTGCTGGTGATGCACCAAGTCCATTTCAGAATCATGCTCCAAGTCAGGTGCCTACTTTGTAAGTGAGAACCTCAGGTTTTCAAAGGAAAGGTTCCGAGCTCTCCAGGCCACACCTGCAGCTGTCACTCACCGTTTACTGCCCTCATGGGTGGTACCTCAATGCCAAGGACAGAGCAGGAAAGGCCTGACCTGAAGCGGCTGGGGAAGCCCGAAGCAGTGAATGCCTGTGTCAGCAGCCCGGCAGCCCCACGGCAGAGGAAATCACTGCCGCTGGCCGTCCTGCCTTCGGCTCCAGGAGTTGCAAGTCATGTGTTGCCTCTAGTCTTAACATGAAGTCCCTGGCAGTTTTGTTTCCTGCCCTTCACACGCCACCTTTGGATGCTGTTCAAAACACTCAATTTCCGGAAACTCAAAGCCAGTCAAGATTGGATGCGGGTGCAGAACCTTCCTCGCTGTCACGTCTGTCACCTGCGATGTCCGAGTGTGGCTAGAATAAGGCCTGGGATACCGCACTCCGTCCCCTCTGCTCGCCTACCACTGCGTTCTTTCTCAAGGTTTTCGGCGTCCCCTCTGACTGCTCCCTGAGGATTACTTCTATCTCCAGATTCAGAACTTCTCCATTCCTCCACATGCCCACGTTTGCCCAAGCTTTCCATTCCTCACAACCCCTTTAGGTGGGATGTGTTGAAGGATCCATTAGGTGAGAATGAATAATTTCCATGAACCCACCTAACACTTTCAAATCTTGGTGGAACGAAATCTGGTTTAGGAAAGCAGTGCTTCACCAAAGAGCCGGCACTCTGCGCACCCTATGCGTGAAATCGTCGGCACTAAGCAAGCATTTGCCTCCTCCTGGGATGTTGAAAGGAGGTGATAGTGGGAAATCTGCCACACACCCCCCCGGAAGCAGATTTGGGAGGCTCTGCCCCCTGAGCATTCTGGGTACTTGGTAAAGGTACAAGAGTCAGCATCCATGGGGCGGGTTAAGGGGGGAGACAGGGAGAGAAAAGGATGCCATCTGGGCCAAATGGCTCTTGCTTAACCCAGTGCTACTTTCTGGTCCTGCTACTCTGTGTCACTTTCTGCCACTCCACCCCCACTCTATTTGCCAAATACCTCAAGATGTTTCTAAGAGGTTCTGAATTATTGACAAACCTAGGGAAGATGCTTTGGAAAACATTAAGTACAAAAACAGATCTGTACCGCTACTGCAAACACTTGGTCATTGGCAGTTTCCTTTTTAAGGCCAAAGAGAAGAAAAGAGGGGGGAAAAAAAGCCTGCCTCTGCTAAATAATGATGGTATTCACAGCACAACAGACACTGCAAGTCCAAACTTCACAGTCTCCCCAGCTTTACTCACCCCTAGCCATCTTGCTCCTTTATTGGCAGCCTGTTGAATCTGGACTCTTTTGAGGGTGACATGGTAAACAGCTCCTTCCTCTACCTCTTCACCCCAGTCCTGAATCGAGCTCTGCCAGGGGAATGGGACAAAGAGAAAGAAAAAGAGTATTTTTTTTTCCTCTCTGCTAACCACAATCTATCCCAGCTGCTTCGCTGCTTCCAACAGCACTCAGGGCATAAGATGGGCTGTTCAAAATAAATATTAGAATCAGAGCAACACGAGACACATTGCGATAGAGGGAACGCTGAGATTTTTTTGGCCCCCAGCCCTTTCCTGTGGTATCAGGATCCCCGGACTTTTCCATTTAGTTATTTTTCCTAGACTCGCTCACATATCTTAAATAGTTTTTTTTAAGTCTTTTTTTTCCTTCTTAAAGAAACTGGTTTAGTCGTGATGAACTGTGCCTCCTTCAGTGAGAGGAAAAAGAATTCACTTGCAGAAAAAGTTTGTCCTTTTACAAGTGGCTCCGTTATTTGAGCAAACTACATTTTAAAATCTGCCACAAACAAGTGTTTAAAATGCCAAGAGTCCTCGCTCCTTTGGAGTGAAATGTTTTTGGCATGTCTTTTTTCTCCTTTGGAACCCCCAGTTAGCGGGAGGTAGAAAGTTTCTTAATTTCCGTCCAATAATCCGGCAAGTGCAGAAAAAGCAACCCATCAACCGTGTGCAGCGGCCCCCTGGGGTCCCCCCGTCCCCGACTAAACTCCAAGTTTGCGATGCAGAGCGGCTGGGACGCAGGAGCGCTCCTCGGCTCGCCCGGGCTCACGGTCCTCTTGCCTTCAAAGTTTTCCTTTCCTGACACACATCTTCCCTAGGCACACCAAGGGCAGCTGCTGAGAAAGTAAGCGTGGTTCAGAGGGAGAAGACACGCAGGGAGGAAGACGTACAAAGCCGAGGGGGAAGCCTGGGCTCCCGGGCATGGGGCCGGATTGCTCCGTCCCCTCCAAAACCCGCCCAAGAGAAAGCGGAGAAGATTCCCCAGCAGGGCAGCCTCGGGAGCAGGCAGAGGGTGTTCGCGTTACCATTTTAGCTTGCCAAAGCAATTTCATTCTCAGCGTTCCCTCCGGTGTGCGGCCGCGGCATGGTGCGCCCTGCTCCCGGGCAGACGCGGTCCCGCCGGGCTCAGCCG